TTTCTCTTTCTCCTCTAATCTCTCTCCATCCTCTCTCCTTCCCCTGTCTCTGTCCTTCTCTCCCTCCCTTTACTCTCTCTCCCCTCCTACTTTACTCTCTCTCTCGCTCTGTCTCTCTCCCCCCTATTACTTCTCTCTCTCTCTCCTCCTACTTTTTTCTCTCCCCCTGCTCCTACTTTCTCTTCTCTCTCTCTCCTACTTTATGTTCTCTTTCTTTCTCTCTCTCTCTTTCCTACTTTACCCTCTTCTCTCTGATCTCTCTTTCTCTTCTCCTTTCCTTCCTATACCTCCCCTCTTTCCTCCTCTCCCCTTCTTTATTTTGTCTCTCTCCTATGTGTCTCTTTACCTCCTCTCCTCCTCTCTCTCCCTTTACTCTCTCAACTCCTACTTACTTTCTCCTCTCTCTCTCTCTCTCTCTCTCTCTCTCTCTCTCTCTCTCTTCTCTCTCTGACTCACTACTCCCTTCCCCTCTCTCTCTCTCTCTCCCTCTCTCCCTCTCTCTCTCTCCTTTTCTTCTTCTCTCTTACTCACTACCCCTTCCTCCTCTCTCGTCCTCTCTCTCTCTCTCTCTGTGTGTGTGTGTGTTTCTTCTCATCTGTTTCTTCACTACTCCCTTCCTCCCTCTCTCTCTCTCTCCTTTTCTTCTTCTCACTTTCTCACTGCCCCCTCCTCCTCTCTCCCTCTCTCTGTTTCTCCCTCCTTCTCTCTCTCTAACTAGCCCCCTCCTCCTCCCTCTCTCCCTCTCTCTCTCCCTCCCTCTCTCTGTGTGTGTTTCTTCTCGTCTGTGTCCAGATGTGTCGTGGGGCACGTGTTGTTCCAAACCACACACAGAGCTGAGAGTTGCAGATGAACTTTTAAAAGTTTCTTATAAAACGTGATAATCGTTTTACATTTTCATGACTTTAGGGTTGGGACCAAATCAAACAGAAGCTGTGCGTCGCTCCGTCCCACGCGCCTCACACGTGCGCTCACAAAACCATCACAAAAATCACTCACTTAATAAATCGGAAAAAGTTTGAATCCAAAACAATAAACATTTACATTTAACTACATTTTCTGTATTTTTAAACATTTTTTTCACAAATTCAAATTCTAAATCAGATCCTTCCTGACATTTACTCTTTAAGTTACTCTTAGTGTAGTATATTTTTCACAAATACTCGATACTCTACTTGAGTCATATCTTGGACCAGTACTTTGAAGGTCTAATACTATTATTTTAAAGCTGCACTGTGTAACTTTTCTGGTGGAGGATTCGTCAAATGCTTTTCTCTGTGGAGATGTTATTGTCTTGTCTGAAATGCTTCACAGTATGGCATTACACATTAAACCTTTCTATCTCCATGGAGACCAAACCAGACCAAGCTACAGGTCAGATCTGTGGAGAGGCGACACCACTCACAGTCACAATGTCTGGTATTTTTGAGCAATAAAACATCTATCAAATATAAAGTAGAGCTGTTTAATGCCATACTGTGGAACATTCCGGGCAGAGCAATGATATCTCCATGGAAACAAGAAGGTAAGGGACCCTCAACCAAAAAGTTACATAGTGTACCTTTAGAGTGTACATATTTGAGCTACTTCACCCACCTGTGTATGACATGATTGGACTGGTATTTGAGACCTGTGTAGTCTGACTGCTCAAATCCACTTTTGCCATACAGGTTAAATACTATTTTAAAGCTCCACTGTGTAACTTTTCTCAAGCAGTGTCTGCCATAAGCTGGTTTCCATGGACATATTATTACTTTGCCTGTGAGGTTTCACAGTGTGGCTTTAAACTCATCTATGTTGCATTTATTCAATCACAGGTGTTTTACTGCTCAAAAGTACTATATGAAAAACATGCCTTGAGGTATTGTGGGCCTGTCTCATTGGAAATAGATAAGTTTAATGCCATACTGTGGGACAATCTAGACAAAGCAATGATGTTATTGCTCCCTCCACCAGAAAATTACACAGTGCATCTTTAAATAGGCCGAGTTCTACTTTACATTACATCTTAAAGTAAGTGCCTGTGTCTGAATGATTCTCTCATTTGTACTGTCCTAACAGATGAGACAGAAGGTCCAGTTTGTGGAGATATGTTTTTAACTTTTATCCTACTGTATAATTGTGATTTATGTTATTGTGATATTACTGCAGTGTGCTTACAGGCTCACTGCTGGTGCCATTTTATGAGTTTTAGAGTCTGAATTATACTATTACATGGTACATTTTAGCTCTGCAGTGGGCTGTAGGCTGTAGATCACTGGGTGTGGAGAAGGCTCACTTTAAAGCAGACATGTCAGACTCAGGCCCAGGGGCCAAATTTGGCCTGACAATTATATTTGGCCTGTGAGATGATATTAAATCTGTATTCAAGCTGCCCACGGGCTACAGATCGACTATAGAGACTTTTTTATTTTTTAAATGTTGTTATTATTTTATATTAGGGCTCGGTGAGGCAGAAGTAAACAGCAAGGTTAAAAATTCAAGTGAATGCATCTGATATAAAAATGTATTGAACAGATACATATGTGCTCTAGTTTATGAAACTGTTGACCTTTTTTCTGTACCATTTTTGGTTCTAAAGTTCCATATGTTTTAAACAGACCATGTATGAAACATGGAACAAAAATTATTTCACAAATTTCAAAGACCTGCAAATCATGTCAATAAATGGATGTATTTCATCATATCTTGTGTTATTCCATCTTTGAACTGTTGATGAAGGTACAGGATTTAAATAAAAAAAAAGAAAATGATAAAAATTTGCTTGGAAGGACTGACATATTTTATAGAAATAGTTTCCTTTCATTTTGAAGTAATATTAAAGTATTTGGAAGAAAAAAGTTGACAAATGATGTAAAATCATGCACCTTCTACTTGTTTGTACAATTTTCTTTTCTTTTACTTTTCCCTCCGTTACCATGACCTTTCTTAATAAAAAATCTCATGACTCAAAAAGTAAGAGGTTTTTCAACCTAATCTTGTACCATATGGTAGAAAACTATATGAAGCAAATATTCAAACCAGTTTGTTAAGGATATGGAAGTGAGAACCAAGAGTTATCACTGTTTGGATTTATTGCCCAAAAAGTGCTGCATATTTCATTCCCTCTGTTACCAACATGAGTTTAAAAATTTTTGTCAACAACTTGAAAGAATATCACAGGTTTAACTTGACCCTGTTGGAGTGTAACTCTTTCCTACATTCTGATACTTTACTTATTTCAATAGTTCCTCTAGTTTCTCAATAAGAGACATTTGAATGTCAAAATCTGCCCCTGTTTCCCTCCGTTACTGCTTGACCAGACCCGTTATCCTTGTTACAGATTCAATGTTTAAACAAAACTATTATTAAAGATTTATTTGAATAAGAAAAGGTTTAACATATCTCGAAAGAAGAGAAAACATGCAGATGGTGTTGACATTTTTGAGTAAATATTTTGTTTGACACACGACTTAATCCCAGTTTTTAATTTTGGCCTCTGTGCATTTGAGTTTGTCACCTCTGATTTAGAGGGTGATCTTATTTATAGTTATTGGTGGTGGTATCACTTTTCATTGGGTGTTTTCATTTGTGTTAATCTTGTTTGTTTTTCACTGGTATGTCTCCTTCACCCCAGTTTTAGGGTGGAGCCTCACTCCTGCAGTGTCATCTCCACCTCTCATCAACCTTAACTTTGTTTTGTTCAGCCAGTAAATAAAAGCTGTCTACACGCTGTTGGACCCACACACTGACTTTGTATTAGGATTCTTGTTTTTTCCTCTTGCAACCTGCACATTTTTTGTTATTAATAAATCCTGTTAGTTTCTGGACTTTTGTCTGCCTTATTTGATCCACCAGTCATTATAGCACTTTGTTATTAAAATTTACCTGTAAACCCTGTAAGTGTTGCATAAATGTAAACTATAGTTTTACACAAATCAAGAAGCAATTTTATGAAGAAAAAATGTTAAATTACAGTAAGGTGACCATTCTATTTTAGAGCCTCTCACACTGATGCCATCACACTGATGAGATCAATTTACACAAGAAACACATTTTTCCTGATATTTAAACCATAATTTTACAAAATAAAGATGTTTTCTTATCATTTTATTTATCAGATCATATTTTCTGTGACATTAGAGGAGTTTTGACATAGTGGTTGCTAGGTAACAGTTACGGAATTGCCTAGTATGATATTGAAATTAGGCCTACCTAAAAAATGGCCAAACTGGAAAAAGAATAGTTCATTTCTTTTTGTAAGATCTTAAATACAATGATCATAAGAGTGTTTTTGTCAAGTGAGTCCAACTTGTCATAGGAACTTATAATAATAATAATTTCTCATGGATTCATTTTACTACACCAAAATCAGTCATACGCGGGGACTGAACTCAGGACACAACTACGAAGAAAATACATTTCCCATAAAGCTCAAAACAAGATGGACAACCAAAAAACTTCCCCTTACCACATTTGCTTGGCTTATTTTCTTTTTAAACCAATTTAATGCTGTCAAAATGGATAATATGAAAAAAAAAAAAAAAAAAAAAGGCTAAACTGGAAAAAGAATGGGTTACATTATTTTATTTATTTCTTCTTTTTTTTTGTCAGTCATCGGCGGGGATCGAACCCAGGACGCAACTACGAAAGAAACTACATTTCCCATAAAGCTCAAAACAAGATGGACGACCAAAAAACTTCCCCTTACCACGTTCTCTTGCATTCGCTTGGCTTATTTGCCTTTTATACAAATTTAATGCAGCGTAAACCTATTTAAAATGGATCATATCAATGACAAGTTTTTAAGCCACGTTAGAAAAATAAACAGGCTACACATTAAAATTAATTAAAACGACCGAATTTTACGCTGTGAGTTTTTATTTTTCTGTTTTTCTTCTTCTTCTTCTTCATTTTATTATTATTATCACTTTATTATTATTATTATTATTATTTTAATAGATCCACGGGTGAGTTGTCGACGCATGGTTAGTTTTTGGTTGGCCATCTTTACGTCACGCGTGTGTAAAGGAAACCAGACGTAAACACTTCGCTAAAAGCATGTCCCACTCCGCTGCAATGCTTTAAAACTGTCATGCATCTATCCTGGAAAACACGAATATACATTTTATGCAAGATTTAACTTCCAAAATGGACGAAAACGCGTTGAAATCACTGGTTAAGATGACTCAGGAGGGAGATCTCGTTTCTTTGGAAAAATGTATGAGCTCTTTGGACGGCGAATCGGTTCTGACTGTGATCAGCAAACATTTCGGACGATCTGGGGACACTTTAATGCACTATGCGGCGAGACACGGACATTTAGACATCGTTAAATATCTGCATAAACTGGGCTTGCATGTTGAAGTTTACAATAACGACTACAAGAGACCGCTCCACGAGGCTGCGTCAATGGGAAACCTCGAATGCGTCACGTATCTGCTTGAAAACGGAGCCAAAGTGGATAGTTTGAAGAAAGCGGACTGGTAATGTGAATTTTAAACATATTTTGAAACATTGCGCCCTCTGTTGGATATAAAATTGAAATGCTAACGTGCTAGCATTATCTCCCTTCGATAGCTCAGTTGGTAGAGCGGAGGACTGTAGTGGTAAACGCGGGAATCCTTAGGTCGCTGGTTCGAATCCGGCTCGAAGGAGAGTTCTTTTTGCACTGACAAGACCCAGTACTACATTTCTTAATAGTATAAATTAAAATATGTTTAGCTTTTATAGATATTTTTGTCAATATTTGTTAAATAGAAAAGCAGGAGATGTTTTTATGTAAAGGTTTATCTGTCGAGACTAAATGAGACCAATGAAACGGCGATACGTGGACTCCATCTAGTGCTCTAACTGCGAACTACCACTAAAAATACAATTTGTTAAAGCTGCACTGTGTAACTTTTTGGTTGGGGGTCCGTCACCTACTTGTTGTTTCTATGGAGCTGTCATTGCTCTGCCAGGAATGTTCCACAGTGTGACATTAAACAGCTCTACCTTACATTTACGCAATTAAAGGTGGTTTTATAGTTCAAGAATACCTAGAAGAACAGGTATTTATTTATTTATTTATTTATTTAATGATACAGGGACAGTGCACAATTTACATGAACCTTAGCAGGAGAGATGTTTGTACCAGGTTGTAGCACCAGTGTGAATTTCCACCTGTCGTCCCTGGGCAGGTTCATTGATTGATTGATTTTATTTTAATTGACTTTTTTTAATCAACTGTTCTTCCTGGAGATCTGTGTAGCATGATTTGCTACATAGCTCTGACTGTGAGCAGGGCTGCCCCTCCACAGACCTGACCTGTAACTTGGTCTGGTTTGGCCTCCTTGAAGACAGAAAGAATTAATGCCATATTGTGAAATATTCCAGACAAAGCAATAACATGTCCATGAAGAAAAACATTTGATAGACCCTCCATGTTAAATAATGCACCTTTAATAATGTCTGTTTTTTGTTATTTGTCGTTAATTAGCCCAAAAACACACAAAAAATGTTTGGCTATGTGTAACAAGTAAAAAAACAAAAAAAAAAAAAAAACAAAAACGCATAATTAAAGAGATAATATCCATAAACCAGATCTGCAATTTGATACTTTAACAGTTTGAAGTGTCCTCCAGCTCAGTTTCTAGAATTCTAGAATGCGATGATGTCATGTGTACAGGAAGTGCTCCACTGTGTTTTTAAACTCCACACACCTTCACTAGAATCATTTGGATGATTTCAGTCCTTGTATTGCCAATTTCTACTGAACTAAAGGTAAAAGGAGCTGTTCACTTGAAAACTATCACTTCATGACATCACGAGGTGGATCAGAGCATTTTGAGTTTTGGAGATGTAGACAGACTAATAAAAAAGTGTTGGTGGTTTTCAGATTCTAGAATTGAATGATGTTATACTCTCAGATGGGGGCAAGAGACAGATTTCCCTATATAATAGATTTAGATCTCTACTTTGACATGAAATATACAAAAGGTAAATTCGGAAATATGGAACCTGATCATTTCTATTACTGACCAGACTCAAGACTCTGCTGCTTTACAACAAAAATCAGCAGTTGCAAATATTCATTTTACCTGCCCACTGTCTGTATTGAATAATACTGGCCTACAGAATGTTGTGATCTGAAACCCAGCAATTACTGAAACATGTCTGAATGAACCAAAACACAACTATAGGTGTTTTTGAGGAGGTAACAACATTAGAACATGATTCAAAGCTCATAAGAGTCCATTTTGCGTAACCTTGAAATTATTTTGAAAGATCTGACCAGTGTGACCTCTCACTTTTGTTCAGTACACTAATTGTTGTGCATGTCTATAGTCGTTTACATCCCTAGTGAAATGAATTCCTGTGTGATCTGATCTCGTGTTGTGCTCCAGGACACCTCTGATGATGGCGTGCACCCGGAGAAGCCTCCCTGTGATTGGTCAGCTCCTGGATCACGGAGCCGACCTGAGTCTGAAGAACAAAGACGGCTGGAGCGCGTTCCACGTGGCGTCCAGAGAGGGCAGCGCTGAGGTGGTGCTGCTGCTGCTCCAACGCTCAGAGCAGGTGTGGAGGACAGAGAGCAAGACTGGGCGCACGCCACTCCACACGGCAGGTGGGCTGGAATCTGATTTATGTGGGTGTGGTTTATCTGTTTCCTCACCGGTGCGGAGCAAGAAACAAAAGGATAGTTTTGAGTCACAGTTGGAGGAAATGGTGAGAAAATACAAACATCTGTACGACACAACGCTCAGTGACGACTAAGACGCTAAATGGCAAGAAATTAATGGAGGGAGATCACCGGCATTTTAGGCTTGGACAAAACTCAGTGTAGAAAAGTCTGGTGTAATCTCCGTGACAAGTTTGTGAAAGTGAGAAGGTGAGTCACCAAAATAAAGAGTTGTCAGTCTTAAGGTCGAAAAGAAATCTCCTTGATATAAACCTCCCTGCAGTGGCTGGACTCCCTCATCAAACACAGGGAAATGTCACCAATATGACTCCTGTTCAAGTTAAACAGAGGGAAGATATTAATACTTAGTTAATAGGAGTGAGGGGGCGGGGCAGAGCGAGGGGGTGGGGCAGAGCGAGGGGGCGGGGCAGAGTGAGGGGGTGGAGGCAGTTTGGCAGCAGAACATCTGACATTTCATACATCGTTTTAAATATGAAATGTCAGAGCCCAAATGAACTTTGTTCTTATCACCTCAAGAACAAAAACAAAGTTCTTATGTTCTTGAAGTATGAATAGGCCATTAGTCGACCAAACTGTGTACAACTAATTCTTTTATTTGCATTATAACGATTTCTATGGGACAACAGCAGAAAGAAGAAGTGAGTGACTTAGTAAAAGATATTGTATTTTTTTTCTGTATATGTAAAAAGTCAGATTAAGTCAGATAAAATTTAAAGGTGCACTGTGTAACTTTTTGGTTGGGGGTCTGTCACCTGCCTGTTTCTATGGAGATGTCATTGCTCTGCCTGGAATGTTCCACAGTGTGACATTAAAGTTACAGTTATTCAATTACAGGTTGTTTTATAGCTCAAAAATACCTACAAAAACAGACATTCTGACTGTGAGAGGGATCACCTCTCCACAGATCTGACCTGTAACCTGGTCTGGTTTGATCCCCCACCGGAAAAGTTACATAATGCACCTTTATGTACTGTAGAATCTGTCTTTATAGAAATATATTGTTTCCTGGTATTTCTTTCTGTGTAAATAGCAGGTGTAGTCTTGTGAGCGCACTGTGGGTCAGATACAGAGATACGTGACAGTTTTGGGAGCTTTTATCACACCTCACTCTTTTTTTAGCAGGATATAACTTTAGTTTACCAAGAATTTCTTTAGTCAAATACAGCCTTAAATACAGTTCTGAGGGCTGCAAAATATAGAATCATAATCATTCATTTGACTGGCCAGAACTGGCAAATCACAAAATTATTATTATTTTCTTTGCGTTGTCTCCATTGGGTCTTATTCTGTGGAAAAGCTGCTAACCTTGTAGTTTAGACGTTTAGAAACATGTTCTGAAATGCCTGGAATTCTTGTATTAGGTTATCAGTTTGTGTTTCATCGTTATCTAATCATAATTGTAATCCTTGTCAGAAAAAGTCTACTGTAATGTTTTTCCAGAATGGATGTTTTGCTTTGAAGTGGGTCATTAATGTTGAGGAAGAAGAATTACCTCTTTTATCTTTTCTGTTTTTTTAACCTTTTTCTTTTTAAATTGTATTACAAACCTCCACATAATGTTCTTCTTGGTAATGTGCCTTTATTTACAGCTCTGCACGGTTGTGAAGAAGTGGTCAAAATATTGTTGGAAAGGTAAGAGAAAGTGGGTTAAAGGAATTGTCTGTACGCTTTCAGTTTTAACAGTTTTAAAGTTATTACAATCTGATCTGAGCCTGTGTCTCCAGAGCCGTCACCTGCACACACACTTTCTGCATTTGTCTCAGTTTATGGACAGGCTGTGATCGGCTGCAGGCGCTGGGGTCTAGGTAGTGACCATTCAGATCAGAGAGAGGCTTTTTCGGTATAAACCAACTGAATTTCAGTATTGAACCAGCAACACAAATGAGAGACTCATGTGAGACTCATCCTGCTTTCTGATTGGAGCATCGTCTGGAACCAAAACACCAAATAGGCTCTATTTTTGTTATGTCACAAACCTGGACGTTTGTAAAGATGTGATGACAACTTCCGGCGAGCTCTATTCGTGATAGTAAGTCTGACAAAGTCTAGGAAAACTGAGAAAATGTCCCAGTTTTCTTCATCTCCATGTCATTGTAGCAATCAATCAAACTTTATTTTTTAACACACACACACACACACAAACATAAGATAAACAGATTGGTCATTAGATTACTAGATATTACAGTTACTTTTACAGTAACAGTTACTTGATTACTTGAGATTACAGTTTGGACTTGAGAAAACTATTATCTGTGACACTATTACCGTGTTTTTCAGGCTATAGGGGGCGCTCTTAAGCCTCTAACCCCATCAAAAAACAACTGCCCCCCCCAATCCAGAGCGTCCTATACACGAATCCACTCGAGTGTCCCAGCACGACTTCAGTAAACTACAAAGCCGCACCACCCACAGAGCACACAAACACACACGGAGCAGACAGCGACCGCACAACCAAACACACCCACAGACACACTCATCACTCCACACCGACGAGGAACGGAACGAACAAACCAAAAAAGCGAGCGCAATGTGCTACTTCTAGACATGACTGAACAACTGAGTCACTGCGAACACGCCGACAATCCGTTGGTCCCAGACAGCCCCCTCCCTACACGCCACAACTGAACAAAGCCCAGAGTCACCGTGAACACCACAAACAAACAAAACCACTCACCCATCACACTGTTGGGTTTCATTTAAAGTCCAGTGCGGTTTATTTGTGAAAATAGTTAGAAAATAGACCATTTAATGCCAGTGCGTTTTATAATCCAGAGTTGCCCTATAGTGCCAAAAATACGGTAGCTTTTTTTTTTTTTTTTTACTAGTAACTATCTGGACCAATCCCACATTTCATTCATTTTATCTTGTTACAACTAACTATCTGGAATCTAGAAATTCATACTAACTGTCTGGACTCTGGGACACTAACTCTCTAAAACCAGTACATAAAGAAAAAAAGAAGGAACCCCTCTGCAACATCAGCATATACAACAAAAACACAGTACAGACAATAACGACAAGACTCGCAACCGGGGAGGAGAGGGAACTGGAGTTGACCCCAAAATCTAGACAGGCAGCCGCCTCTAGATCCTGCAGCCAGGGGGCAAAAAGCTGCGAGGGCGTAGAGAAAGTTGGAGAGGAAGAGGAGGTGTCGTGAACCCCCCCTCGGCCACAGGAGAGCTCACTCGGGTGGGGTAAAAAGATGAAGGTTTTGGCGTAGGCCCCACTAAAAGGGCTCCTGAAATTCAGATGAAGATGTTCATGATGCTTTATTTTGATAATTGAATAACTGTTAGAGCATTAGAGATTAAGAGTGTTTGATTTAGATATTAGAAGTGTTTTTGTGACCCATATTAACATAAGTTACTTGTTCTGTTTTGATTTAATCTGATTCGTTTCTTTTATGATGATTTGCTTAATTCTTTCAATTTAATTTTCAAGTTTAGGTTATTTTGCATTAATTTCTGTAACCGTAAGATTGTGGTTTCTGAAAAGTGTTGCCTGTACTTGGAAATGTGTTCTATGTGTGACGTACTGATCACTTGACCCTATATAAATATTGAAAATTCTGCATAATGATGAGATCCTGATTTTGGTTGGCATTGACCCTCCGGCTGTAACTCGGCTTAGGAGTTCAGAATCTACAATTCGGACTAGGCTGTGCTTTATAGCTTTCCTGGTCACAGGGTAATTTCTCCAAAAGGTACTTGCAGAGTGATTTGTCCTAATTATTTTTGTATGAGCTTTCTGGTAAAATAGCAACTACGGAGTGAGTTGGTCATAAGTGCTTTGTCGTGAGCACTCCGGGCCTAAAAACCCTGAGTGATCACGAGTATAAAGAGTGACACCCAGTCACAGGAGTAGTGCATAAAATAATAAAAAGCAGAAAAAATAAGACAAAGACAAATCACTTGTTGGGATATTTTGTTGAGTCTCTCCCTTTAATAAATATACATATACTATTACTTCGAGCAAGTCAAGTCATCCTAGGTGAGTTGCTTACAAAAACGCAATGTTTGGGGATATTTTCTAATGCAATGTTTTTGATGCAAAGCTACATTTGGTTAAATTCTTGAGGCACTGCTAAGGATAAATTAATATTTGCAATGTTTTTGGTGTAAAACTAAATCTGGTTAAATTCTTTGAGGCACTGCTAAAAATGAGTTTTGGGCAAATGTTGTCAGATAGAGGATAGATAGAGTATGTCATAAGGTGGTTTCTAAAGCTAAGTGAAGTTGTAAGTGTTCCCCAGGTGATACTTTAAGAGTTGTTAAAGTTACCTGTATGGTGTTTCTTAAAGTTAAATGATACTTTTTGAGTGTAGTCAGATATTTACCTTGTGTTATTGAAGAAATGATATTTTTGAGTGTAGTTAATGATATTTTTGAGTGTGCATTGTGGTTTTAAAGTTATGTGATATTTTGAGTGTTGTCAGAGTTATCTGCAGTGTGTTTTTAAAGTTGAGTGATTTTCTGAGGGTTATTAGAGTGATTAGAAAAAGGTAGTGAGGCTCAGGCTGCGTAATTTAGTCCTGGTCTTCTCAACAGGAGGGGAGCCCCGTCCTGCTCAAGTCTCTCCAGGACGAGTTTTAAGACCGGCCGACCGTTATGCAGACTGTAGTGTTCAGTTATGTTCGACTCATTAACAATTCCAACCATCCCTCAGTTTTCATCATTTCCCCACTGACACACAACCGTGAGAGCACTGGTACACGTGATTAGAAGAGATGAGGCGCCAAACTCCAGATGATTCCAAACAGAACATATGTCTGCAGTTTTATTTTATCTCTGATCACATTTACTTCAGTGGGTTTGATCATCTACACCGGAAGTTGTCATCGCATGTTTCCAAACGTCTTCCTGTTTTTTTGACGTAAGAGTGATTAGAGCCCATTAGAACAGAACCATGAGACATCAGGTCCAATGTTTTTGTGATTGAGGGCCTGTTTACACGAGAACGCTTGCAGGTAAAAACGACAAATATTTTATCGGAACTGCCTTTCTTTTAGACGGTAACGCTGTTTTTGGGGCTTCAAAATGCAAAAATCTGAAACCACCCTCCAGAGTGGAAAAGTTGAATGCGCTCCGCTGTAGCGTTTCTGTCTACACTGCCCAAGACGCAAAACTCTGGTCAGATCTGCTCAGGTCACGTACACGTTTACACTGCACACATACTGTACACAGAAACCTGGCATGCATACCCAATCGAATTCCACACACTTTTGCGTCACCGTATGCACGCAGATTTCCTCCCTCATCTAAACTCTGAATAAAAAGTGAAGACGCGACGCCACTTTTGCGTCTTCTGTTCACACCGTCATCATATAAACGTAGCCTCAGAATAATCCAGTATTATCGTTGTTATCAGTAAAAGTTATTTGATTTAAGCATGTTTACTTTGAATATCTGAACACAGAAAGGCCAAGTTTATGGAATTTAAAAAGCAAAAGTCATTATTTAAAATCCTCTCACGTTTAAAATCCTCTCATGTTTCTTAGTTTTCTGTTTTCTTTGTTGCAGGTGTGAGTACAGGCCGGACCAGAGGGACAGCTGTGGGGTCACTCCGCTTATGGACGCTCTGAGAAACGGACACATCTCTGTGGCTAAACTTCTGTTAGAAAAGCACCAGGTAAAACAAACTCATTTACAAATATGCATGAACAAATATTGAAAACATGGTACTAGATGCCGTCAATATCCCATGGGTGTGATGCTAACTGTAGGCTGTACTCTGTCTGAAGCTCTGTTACTCAAGTTAGACTTTAATCTGAGCTTTATTTTTACATTATAGTCACAGGCTCGTTCACATTAGCCAACAGTTTTTTCACAATAGCTTCGGACCCATTATTCAAGCCCAAAGACGCAATTGTTGTCAGCTGAAAGGACTTTAAACCATAAGATTAATTTGACTATAATTTGAATATTTGTGGAGCCAGTCCCAAACAAAGAATTCACTTCACTGTCTGAAAAAAGCTGTCCTATCCAGAGGAGGAATGATGTTTACAGCAACGTCAGCTCCCTTTGGACACCACAGTTTCCTAATAGACTCTATACAGTAGACGCTTACGTCACAAACCAAGAAGATTTTTGGAAACATGCGATGACAACTTCCAGTGTAGTTCCCGACACTGGACTCACCGACCAACTGTGATCAAACCCACTAAAGTAAATATGATCAGTGGTAAAATGAAGACTGTAGACGTATGTGCTGTTTGGAATCATCTGGAGTTTGGCCTCATCTCTTCTAATCACATGTACCAGTGCTCTCAGAGTTGTGTTTCAGTGGGGAAATAATGAAAACTGAGGTTGGAATGTTGATTTGCTGAACAGAACACTACAATGACATGGTGTGTTCGATTATCCATCCAGTTCAGAGGTCTGAGGATGTGCCTAGCACTGACACGCCCCTTTTCCTCGGACGGCAGAACTCGGAACAACTCAGAGGAGACCGAGTAAGGATTCCGAGACAGAATCCCAGACGGCTGTACCCAGCGACACTTTTAAGTATGAACTGTTTTCATTGTGTTTGGACACTTTGTGGTTTAACTGACAAATTCAGTCATTCGTATCACTGCAGTACCTTACTGTGTCTGTATTACTGTAGTACCTTACTGTGTCTGTATTACTGTAGTACCTTACTGTGTCTGTATTACTGTAGTACCTTACTGTGTCTGTATCACTGCAGTACCTTACTGCATCTGTATTACTGCAGTACCTTACTGTATTATTGCAGTACCTTACTGCGACTGTGTTACTGCGTCTGTATCAGTCCCTGTGGGTTGGGTGGTCGGTGTTGCTGTGGAACTCTTTAGGTACGTCCATTCATAGATACAGTCGATGTGCGAAACATAATAAATGCTGCAAGCATGGATGAGACGTCATATCCAAGATCCGAGTGAGAGCCGGACGGATGATCAAACGCACCATTAGTAGTGTGAACAGAGCCCGTCGGAAGTTGTTATCACATGTTTCCAAACATCTTCGTGGTTTGTGAGGTCAGCGTGAATATGCCTGTGTCCTGTTCCTGTTAGGCGAGTCCTACGGCCGTGGACAGACTGGGAGCTCAGCCCATCCACCAGGTGGCAGTAACGGGACAGAATGAAGCTTTAAGGTTTTTAGTGAAGGAGCTGAACGTGGATGTGAACGAGAGCGCCACCAGCCTCCAGCTCACGGCATTACACTACGCTGCTAAGGTTGGTCTCCAACTATTTTACACGAACCAATATTGATTGAAAGAGTAGTCCCAAATTTAAAGCTGCACTAGGAAACTTTGGTGGTGGAAAGTCTGCTACATGCTTGTCTCCATGGAGTTGTCATTACTTTATATGGAATATCCCACATTATGGCATTAGTTATGTACCATTTATTCCAATCCTTGTGTTTTTATTGCTCTAAAACACCTTGAGAAGCACTTACTGTGAACAGGATCGCCTCTCCGCAGAATTGACTTTGGCTCAGTGAGGCTTTCAGCTTGTCTCCATGGAGATAGACACATTTAATGCCATACTGTCCAGCATTCCTCACAAAGCAATAACTATATAACTAACCTCTATAGAAACAAGCAAAAAGCATTTAGGGTAAAAACAGATTTACTAGTCTGTGTTAGTAATGGTCCTAAGAAGCTGTATTGATGCATTTCCCATAAAAAAAGTCAAATTAACCACTAACTGACTGACTGCTAATGATATGTTTTGACTGTTGTACTTTGTCAGGAAGGCCACGTCTCCACTATATTAACACTGAAAGAGTTAGGAGCTGATCTCCAAAGACAAGACGCAAAGGGAAGAACTGGTAAGATTTTATTTAAGTTCAAAGTGGAATCTGTGATATTTAAAAATACAATACCAAAAACTGGTACCAAAAATATTTATATTTATATTATACTATAAATAAAAAAATAATTATGTTGTCTTACACTGAATAGAATTTAAAGGAGCATTGTGTAACTTTTCTGGTCACGGGTCAGTCAAATGTTTTTCTCCATGGAGATGTTCTTACTTTCTCTGGAATGTTCCGCAGTGGCCACGTTTACGATGCGTTTATGTTTTTTAATTCTGAATTAATTGTTCTGAATTAAATCGTTTGAAATTAAAATATTCTCCTTTGAGTTTACATGGAAATAACATGGAACATGGAAAATTCGTTAAATCGTCTTTATTTAATTCTGCTCAGTGTCTGGAGGTGGGGAAGGTTCTGATTGGACAGAGACACAAACGTATTTACGTCGACCTGAAGAAAACACACACTTCAGCTGCTACCAGCTTTTCTGTCATCTCGGTTTGTCGTTGCGCCACAAACACAAACATGATCCAAACTTTTTCCACAGTGGTTCTGATAATTGTGCAGCAGTTGGAGAATTCTCTCATCACACTTTATGTCTGTGAGCTGAGGAGGAGAAGGGAAGAGTGTCAGAGAAGAGAGGAAGAAGACAAAGTGAGTGTGAGGCTGCTCTACCTCAGCCCACTCCCACATCCCGCTCACAAATCCAAAGAGACATGGAGGAAAGTCCGAAGACACGACTGGTGGAGCCGGATCATCCGGATCACATCAGAAGGACGACACAACGAGCATGAACTGAACCACCAACACTATTTTTAACAAGAATAAACGTGTTGATCAAGGAATAAATTAATTTGACTTTAAAATCGGAATAAACCAAACGCTTACTTCTGAATTAAGTTTAATTCTGAATAATCCTTGTCATTAGGATTTAAGTGTTTACATGGACTTTTTAAAGCTGAATTAATTTTTATCCAAAATTAAATGATTTTTATTCAGGGCGACAGTAGTGCAGTTGGTAGAGCGTTTGTCCACTGGAGGTTGTTGGCTCGAATCCCACTCTCGACAGAAACATCATTGGTTGAGCAGTCAGATCCTTGACCCACAGGTTGGGAGTGTGATTTCAGCTCTCACCGTTGTGTCCTTGGGCAAGACACTATACCCACCTCGCCCCTAGTGTCTGCGTACACTGGTGTATGTCAAGTCAAAAAGCCCAGCCCCTCTGCTCCTCGTCTTCAACTCCACTCCTGAGTCCAAGTAAATAAATGTAAAAGTGAAAGTAGAGCTGTTTAATGTCACACTGCGGAACATTCCAGGCAGAGCAATGACGTATGACGAATGATGAAACAAGCAGGTGACAGAACCTCAAACAGATTACACCCTTTGATCCTAAATAAAGTATCATAGTTTTCAGTTTTTTTCTTTTAGTAAGTGTGTATCTTGCTCATAGAGTAAGATTGGTCCATTTTCTCCAGCATCAGCTAATTTTAAAGTGTGACTGTAACCTGCACATTCAGACTTTTACAAATAAACTTATATTAAAATACATAATAATAAGACAGGTTAAACTACATTTTCTTCTAAAACATAGTTAACATCAGTAGATCTGTGATATACTGTGTTTGTATTATGATATTTCTGCTTCATATTCATATTTAATAATAATAATAATAATACATATATATAGTTTCCTTTCTCAGAGTATTTTATTTGACTTATCATTTCTTGACCTCCTTTTCTTCAGGCATAATTCTTATGTCTTTAATATTATTGGTTTAAATTTCATTGATTAAAATTACCATATTGTTTTTTGTCATATTCATTTAGCAGTTTTATATTGTTAATATAAATGTAATTATTTTGTATTACTTTATATTCTATTAGGTTTTAATTAAAATTCCTGAACATAATTTTGAGGGGGTGTATAGGCAAAATAAAATATAAAATACAATAATAAAAAAAAAAATAGAGCAACATAAAATGTAGTTCCAACTAGAAAATATGACAGAACCCCAATGAAAAAGAACACACAAAACCATATTTGTGTTTTACTTACCGTACATACTTTTATATAACTTAGCTCTTATTGATACCAGTCTTTTCCTTTTTTTATTGCTTCTTAATTAGAAGTTTATTAATTTATTAAGTTTATTAAGTCCTGCATGGATCCATGTTTGAGACCTGCACCCATGCAGTACAGCACCATACCCGCCCGTTAACCCATGATTGTATCAGATTTAAATCAGACCATTAGTCCGACAGCCCAGTAGTCCAGGACTGAACCTACATGTGTCATTAGGAGATTATAAACATATACACGCCACATCTGCAGAGCCGATCGCCAGGACTGGACCGGGACTACACCAGGACTACACCAGGACTACACCAGGACTACACCAGGACTACACCAGGACAACACCAGGACTGGACCAGGACTACACCAGGACTACACCAGGACTACACCAGGACTACACCAGGACGACACCAGGACTACACCAGGACGACACCAGGACTGGACCAGGACTACACCAGGACGACACCAGGACTGAACCAGGACTAAACCAGTATCATTACATAAATATATACACGCAGCAACCGCCAAGCTGATTGCTAGGACTACACCAGGACTAAACCAGGTCCAAACCAGGACTTAACCAGATCTAAACCAGGACTAAAGCAGGAGCACAGCCGTCGAGCCATTCACCTCCACTGATGGTTTTATGTAATAAAAACATTAAAGTCTCTCTCAGACTGTCTGAGATCCAAGATTTTACTACAAATGATATGTTGTTTTAACAGTTTTCTAACTTTGGTGAAGTTCTAAGTTTTATCAACGGCCAAATCTTCCTTTAAATTATACAATAGTTATGATTTGACCTATATTTTGTTAAATGAAGGTTTAAAGTGTCGGAAATTTGTGCGTAAACTCAGAGGGATTCTGTTTTAGGACTTAGCACAACTTACTGTATTTTTGTAACTTTTTTCTTGTAAAACTATGATGCATTTTTAACAAACCAAGTCAGAATTAAAAGAAATATTGAATCTGTCAAATGTATTGAAAATTTCCCTGATCTGGCCAAGATCAAGTTATTCATCTTGTTTTCAGGTTTATTTTCTACTCTAGTAAGTAGAAAATAAACCTGAAAACAAGATGAATAACTTGATCTTCTTCTGAGATGCTTCATTCTAGTCTAGAGGTCGTTTATTGTAAGATAACTGGTCCAGTAAAATGATCTTGCTGCATGGACAGATCATTTCACTATTTTTATCAGTCATTTTCTGATAGATTTAAGTGTTTTTGTCTTAAATTTTGGCCAAGCATGTTACAATCTTTAATGCATTTATTCCTCTGTGTTAGCTCTTCACATGGCATCCATTGGTCAACACGCTGAAGCAGTGAGCACTCTACTCCAGCTCGGACTGGAAAACTCGCCAGATTCAACAGGAACTACTCCACAAGAAATCGCAAAGAAACCAGCCGTGGTCCAGGCGTTTCACACGGAGACTTCATAACAAATACTATTATGTCTGAAAGATGCAACGGTTATTTTATTATTTTGAGTTTGAGCAGCAAAACAAATACAATGTCTATTATTGAAATAGTTCTAATTGCAGAGATCTAGTCGCTGAGCAAAGCCAAAAGTGTTGTAACCAAGAAAAATAAGGGTTTAGTCCCCATTTTGATGTGTGTGTGCCTATTACTTTTCACTTGTCACCACATACGTGTTTACTGAAGACATAATTAAATGTAGATAAAACCAATGACATGTGAAGAAGACTAATGTGGTGGGTTTCACAATAATTTTAATAACCACAACTCGCCTCAATACAAAGCAGGAGCGGAAATGACGGGCACTATTTTTCACACCTTCAGTTTTTCTGAGCGTGCACACCTCGAATACAGGACAAAACAGGATTACTCAAACAATCATTAAACAATCAAAATGAGGATAACCAGATTTTTAAAATCAAAAACTGGAACACCCTCAGTTTGGGGTGAAGGTAGTGAAAGAGTATGTGAATAAGGAAAATTGTTTTGCCCATTCATGACTTATTCAGGACTAACATGTGAGTGACTATAGTCACATTTTCTTTGTGTTTTGGTCATTTTTAAGCAGCTTTTCTGTATTTTGCCAAAGCAAATGACAATTAATGCCTCTTTTTACTGGTAGCAGGGATCAAATCGGTCAAAACATAAGGACACCAGGGACATTTCTTGTATAGCACTGGGACTAATCAATGGTTTTGGATAAATCCACTGGGACAAGGGAGACAAAGATGGTGTTCTGTCGAAATGGGCTGCCTCGTAGAAATGAGCGATCTGAGGTTTTTCCATTTATAGTTGTATCAATCCAATACAGCCTAACCTCCATACATATTATAAACCACATAACCCACATATTTATTTGGATTAGAGATGCGGGTTTAATGCCGTTTGCACGCGGTGATCAAACTTTATACCTTAGTTATGTACAATTTCAATTCATTTATATGAATATGTGTAGGTGGTTCATTTGGACAGTCGTATTTTGCTCAAATAGGCTCCGACGAAAGATAGCACATATCGACAGGACAATTTAGCCATTGAATAATACTCCCACTGTAGAATCACCATTATTCACTCATTTATATGAATGTGGGTAGAGGAGCTCATTTCCACAGGCCGATATCTTCTATCAAATAAGGCTCCCACTATAGAAAAGAAAGAAATTACCAGAAAAACTGAAATCTTTATATTAAATAGCGTTAAATATATAATATTTAATTCTATTCTATTTATACAGCGCCTTTCTAAACAAAGTTACAACATTTTCTACACATGGAAACAAAATAAAATATAACAATAAAATCTAATATTAAATCCAAACTATTCAATCAAATAATGTAGGTATTCTGCCGCAAATCTAACATGCACATGTCATTGCTTACATGCTTAATTGGTCAAAACATACAATAAACCAATACACTTTTAACCCTCTCAGGCTCAAATTAAATTTTATTAATAGGACAAAAACTGATATTTGGGGAAAATGATCATATGGGGTAGTAATATACACTCCTGACTTTTTTTGAGAGAGACCTTCACATCCAATGAGTTCTGGGATGTTGCAGCATTAGTCTGGTGTTCAAAATTAACACTGAAGACTGAAAATGATATGAACACTAACTTTATGTGTAAACCACTTTTCATAACAATGAAAACATAAAGCACAGTGTAACAGCTTTACAGTGGCAGAACAACATCACTTTTTCGTGTGGTGCTCCAAGAAACAATTTTTATAATTTGTAAACAACAAAAGTACTTTGCACTTCTGGCAGGTCGTTTGTGCGTAGCCATTCTTGCACAGTCTGCATCGTCCACGTTTATCAGCATGGATGGGAGAAAAGGCCCCTGAGTAAAAAAAGCTCATAAAATATGGATGTGGAGTCAGTAGATAATTGGGATTTAGCTGCAAATCTGCAACGCCTTACTTGTTACTCCATTTCTTTGATGTTACTGTAGCTGAACATATTGAATGAATAAGAATAAAAAAAAGCAATTACAAAAAAATATTTATTTATAATTATTTATTTTATACGTTATATATACACTAACTCCGCTTGGGAGTCTTACTCATGCGCAGTAGAGCTAGAGAGCTCAAATCGACGGGACACCTGGTCACCTTATTAAAACCAAATAAAACTTTTGAGTAAGCACATGGTAGGGAACGCTGTTTAAACACATTCAAAATTGATTTAGCATAATAAAACCCCTTTAAATGTCTGATCAAACACAGTGAGGCGCGCGGTGAGTGACAGTACGAGGCCCCGCCCTGCTCGGCTCCTGAGTCCTGCTCGGATCTGCGGCCCTTCATTCACCCTCAGCGCTCCGCATTCTGCTACTTTCCTCCAAATCTCCTCCTCAAACTCACCTCGACAGCCTCCAAAATGAATGAAGAGTACGACGTGATTGTCCTGGGCACCGGGCTCACGGTAAGAAACGCTCGAAAAGAGTCGATTTGAGGCGGGGAAGTGAAGCGCAACCTGTTGGTCCCAGCGCGCTCCTCCTGGGCCTCAATGACGGCGGCTAAGTAGCTACATTAGCATTAGCATTAGCCACTTTTCTCGTAGTGGATCATATAGAACCGTAGATCTCGCGTTCAGCCTCTTGTCGCGCGTTCATACCGCTGCCATCTTGATACAGGGCTTCTTTTTTTATGACTTTACCTTAAGTTTTTCACAGTATCAGCGATCAAAAATACACCACGTCTAAACGAGAACTGAACCAGGTTTAAACCAGGACTAAAAACAGGAGTCATCTTGGTCTTTTTAAAGCAGCATTATCCCTGTACAAAGATGGCGGCTTTGTTGATGTACTCTTTCCAATACACTGCGGTAGTCAATGCGAGATCTACCGTTCTATATAGAAACTGTTAGCATTATTAGCTTCTCTAAACATTTACACAAACTCACGCCCATTCGTTATAAATATCTCGTGATCATTCCCATCTGTCATTGTGCAATAAACCATGATTATTCCACGCGGTTGAAGTAATTAAACAAGTCATTTTAAACGCTGACGACTTTTATTTTACATTCTTGTCTTGCGGCTAATAAAGATTAAACACGATTAGCCTTAGCCGACCTAAGTGTGCAGTCAGCCGCACTCTACCAGCACGACTCCTATTTGTTTTAGCGTGTGTTTATTTAATTTCCAACAATATCCTGAAGATAAAACTGTGTCATAATCTTTTGGAGAGACGTGTAAGTGGGTGGAACTTGCAAACTTCCAGAGTAGGCAAGATTTCTTCCTGTGACGATTCGTTGGAAATGGCACAAAACCTTTCAAGATCGTGACTAGTTTTTGTGTAGATCCTCGTTACTGATTAAGCTTATAATTGTCGTAAAAAGTTGTGTTTTAGTGAGCTGAGTTGCACGATGATAATGAAATGTCAAATTATACGTAGGTACAGGGTGATCAGACGTCCCAGTTTACACAGGACAGTCCCAGTGTTGAGCCCTGTGTCCCCTGTCCCAGCAGATTTATCCATAACCAGTGATTTGTCCCAGTTTTATACAAGAAATGTCCCAGGTGTCTCAATGTTTGACCAATCTATTCTAAACCAGGACTAAACCAGGGCTAAAATATAACTATATCAGGTCTAAACCATGTCTTAACTGGGACTAAACCAGGTCTATTTCAGGGCTAAACTAGGACTATTTCAGGACTATTTCAGGACTATTTCAGGACTATTTCAGGACTATTTCAGGACTATTTCAGGTCTAAACCACGTCTTAACTGGGACAAAACAAGATCTATTTCAGGCCCATTTCAGGGCTAAACCAGGGCTAAATCAGGGCTATTTCAGGTCTAAACTAGGTCTAAACCAGGTCTATTTAAGGTCTATATCAGGTCTATTTCATCTCTAAACCAGGGCTATTTCAGGACTAAACTAGGTCTAAACCAGGTCTAAACCAGGTCTAAACCAGGTCTAAACCAGGTCTAAACCAGGTCTATTTCAGGGCTAAACCAGGTCTTTTTCAGGTCTAAACTAGGACTAAACTAGGAATAAACTAGGACTAAACCAGGTCTAAACCAGGTTTAACCAGGTCTAAACTAGGACTAAACCGGGTGTAAACTAGGACTAAACTAGGACTAAACTAGGTCTAAACTAGGTCTAAACCAGGTCTAAAGCACGTCTAAACCAGGTCTAAATCAGAGGAGCATAAGTTGCTTTTGTTTAGCACAATCCAGAACACTGCTCTTCTGTATTTTGTCTCAGATTAAACACTGATCCGCACATGAGTCGAGAATGGACAAAGCTACACGCTTTTTAAACTATTTTATACCAACCATCCCAACCCGAGTGTGTCCCAGTTTTTTTTTTATTTTGAAAATCTGGTCACCCTACTCAAGTATTTCAAATTTAAAAAACTAGGACATCCCTGTTTTTTTGGTGATTGATTATAATACAATTGTGAAATGAGCGCATAATTAAGTAAAATTGTTATCTAGAAACCATTCAAAACTAACATGTGAGTCAGTATAATCACATTTTCTTTGCATTTTTGTCATTTTTAAGCAGCTTTTCTGTATATTACCTAAACGCAGGGCTCAAAACTGGTAAATAAGAACGTCTGGTCACTCTAAACTATACACAGCCTTGAACACGTCTGGTATGTTTTCGAACAATCTTGTCTTTAGTGTGTAGTTGTATTTCAACAATTGTATTGTTATCTCAACTATACACACTCTAGATTATAAAGACAGTGGTTTTATCAAAGTGGTAGTATGAGACTTTTTGGCGGTGGACAGTCAACTGCATGATGCCACAGAAATAGAAGTTAGTCATACTTTGGGACATGGATTTGGTAAAGATTATGGTGGCACAAATAATTTTTATTTGAATAATTTAATCAAATTCTATTTGTGGATTATAAATGTCACTTACTGCTGATAATTTGCATGATTCCATGTTCCAGAAGTTAAAGTCATGCTTTGGAACATAGATGTAATGAAGACTGTGGTGGCATAATGTCATTTTGTTTGAATAATTACATTTTATTCAATTTGTGGAGTATAAATGTCCCTTACTGCTAATATTAAACATCTTTTAAGATGTAATTTGTGAACAGTGTAGTCTCTGAAGAGGTTTTAGAGTCACTCATGCTTGTTTGCGTAATCTAGCGATCTCTCTTGGGCCGTATTCAAACCCTCCTTACAGTTAACCGCACAATTCTGTACAAGGCTCCACCTACAAACCTACGTCACTCACGCTCCCACGCAGGATACAAAACAATGCTCTACAGCTCGATAAGCCTATACGCGGTACTTTCATTAGCGTGACGTACGCCCTGTTTGTGTTGCGATGGTGCTCTGAACAGGGAGTGACTTAGCGCGGAGAGCAAAGGGGCGGGAGTCTCAGAGCATTAAAAATTAAAGTCAAATACTACGGCATGTTCAAAACAATAAAAGGCAAAATGGTGCTTCAAATATGTTATATGTTACAGTTAATATTCCATGAAAGACAAATATTTCCTCTCATCAAGTGAACTACTAAAATAATCATGAGTTGTAGTCCAGTTTTTGTAGTAAAGTTGTAAAATTTCACTTCTCAATACAATTCTGTACAGTGTTAAAGGAAGTATAATTGTGGTATAGGCTGGGCTGTTTTTAATCTGTTTATTTTTACAAGCGCAGGCAGAGTGACATCAGAGCAGCCGAGCAGTAGTGACTAAATGAACGAGTATTTATGTATCATGTGTCCTGTCTTAGAGTGTATGGCCCTGACAGTGCACGCCTTCTGTCTTTGACTCAATACACTGTTTGATGGCTTCTTAGTCGACCTACATTTCTATTAGTCAAATTAGTTTACAGTGATTAGAAGGATTTTCCATGAACCGAAGCTGAAAGGAGAAAGTATGAGGAGGTAGCGGGAGTTTTGGGACTGAAATGTGACTTTATTCTGCCTTTTTACAAACAATTATACAATTTACTATTAGTGCTTTT